CATTCGATACTATTATGCTTTTTACAGATCGAAATCCTAAAATAAAATAGAATGAGACTAAGGCGATTAATGAAACATAATGTATCGTAGATTTTATTATCAAAATTACGCATCTTGTCAAATAGCTAAATTAAAAGGGATGTTTAAAAGACCCTTACGATTTAAAATTGGTAAGTCTGCAATGGATACATTTTCCATAAGTATTTTAAATATTGATAAAAACAATAGACATTTTATTACAATATATTTCTTGAAAAAAAAAATATTGATCGATCGAGTTCTAAATCATTTAGATTGATCGTTGTGCTAAAACAATTTATCATCTACTCAAATTATATAAGTTCGGATAATGGATCTCACGCTTACAGAAACATCAATAAATATTTTTGTCGTAGTTTGTTGTCACGCTTGATACTTAATACTATCAACATAATATTTTATGGTATAACATACCTCATATAAACCTATTCACTTTACATGAAATATCTGAAATGCACTAAATACCGTCTGCTTAACCATGCACTTTTAAAAGACACTGATTGATAAAATGGTTAAAACCAGCAACTCAGAGATTGATGTACTGAAAAGTCACTGGCATTATGACTATATTATAACTTTCTACGATATCTTTACAGGTGTTCAACAATAAAGCGTAGGAGTAAATAACAAACATGACAAACACTATATTATAAATAATTGTATTGTTTGTTAAGGTGATGAATATAATACACGATAAGGGGCTGTTTAAGAGTAAACATTTCGCCAATTTTGTTATATATATTCTACTCTTTGACACATCATATAAATGAAACATACAACATCATATTGACATTTTGCATACCCTTTAGATTAGGCCATAAGTTTTTAAAAACAATTATATAAATCTCCCAGGTTTGGGTTTTCTTCATTTTTCAACATAATACATAAAGACGATCTTTATGAAATATATTCAATAAAGTTGACGATTTTGTATACAATGCCACAATGCCTTAACATCTATCAGATCGTGTCCCCGTTCACTATGTCGGGCAAATAATTTACCAGACAGTGGACAGTTCTATTCGATGAAATGTTTGCTTACGAATCGGAATGTTGCAATCTGGTCGGTGTATCATTTCTGAACTAAACCCTTCTTGCTATTCTCTGAAAAGTGTTCACTTCATTCTCAATTCCCGTCAGTTTGACTCTTGCTATCAGTTTTTAATAAGATAGGAAAACAGAAAATTCCCCACTTCTTTCAAAACAGCGGCTAATGTCTTATGGTATGATATATTATGTTTTTTCTGTCACAAGCTTATGTTGTTTCTGTCACAAAGCATAGAAAATATTAATTTTATGAAAAGATAAATGCATATATTTAAAGTAGAGGTATTACTCTGTAGATTTTTGTAAATATTGCGAAACAAATTAACAGTAAAGTTTAAGGGATAATATCATCCGTAGAAGGGGTGTACACTGAAGTTTGACTTATTTGCGGTTTATAAAATCTAGAGCGGAAATACCTTATGGTCTTTATGGTTGTATATAAGAGTAGTTAAAGCCCCAGTCACAATAGAGCTTACGACCAGTGAAGACTAGTTCACGATCACCAGTGACCTCTGGTCGCGGACAATCTTTAAAACGTCTTACGACGGTCATCGGTGATCTTTGACAGTCGCAGGTTATCTTACTTAGGTCCCACGACCAATTTCAGTCGTAGAGAGGTTTTTGAGTTTGCACAAAAACCTCCTTGCGATCAAACAGGTCGCTAGTGATCTTATAAGGTCTTAGGGTTGTCGCACGATGGTCGTTCGGAAGTGCGACAATCTTACGACAGTCTTTACAAATTGCCACTAGTCACTGATAATCTTAAGTAGTCTTTAGTTATCGTGTGATGGTCGTACGACAAGTTGTAGGTGATCGCATGTTATGTCACGGGTAGTCGTAAGTAATCCCAGGCAATCTTGAGAATCTTGAGACCATCGTACGTTTACTTATGACCTGTCGTGCGATTGTCAATGACGACTTGTCTTACGATACCAGCAAAAGTAAATTTATCTGTGCAAAAATGCTTTTGGTCGCTTACAATCGCTGATGATCGTCAGTTTTACAAGTCGTCGGTGGTCGCAAATAATCGTAAGCTCTAGTGTGACTGGGGTTTAAGTAAGATTTGAACACTCAATTAACTTATAAACATACCGAGTTTTAAAAGATGGAAAGTAAATATAATGAAGTAAAGAATATATTAGGAGGGACATGGAAGTTAGGTAGGTCAGAAAATTTTGAGGTAGTTTTAAAGGCAATAGGTGAGTTATGTTATTCACTTTGAATATTTGAAGTTGACTATCTAGTAATTAGTCCCCTACCGGTATACCGGAGGGGATTTCAGGTTTACCCTCCGTCCGTCCGTCTGTCCGTTCGTCCGTCTGTCAGTCAGTCAGTCCGTCTACAAAACTGGATTCCGCGATTACTTTAAAAGTACTGAAAATATTTTTATGAAACTTGATATATGTATAGATGGCAGGGTGGAAATTATGCACGTCTTTTTTTTCTTCCTGTGTTGAAAATTCTGGTTGCTATGGCAACAAATAGGCTGAAAATATGACAAATTTTACACATAAACTGGATCCAGTGATAACGCAAAAAGTACTGGAAATATTTTTATGAAACTTAAAATATGGGTAGATGGCAGTCTGGAGATTTTGCACGTATTTTTCTTTTTAGGCTTAAAACATGGCAAATTTAACAGTATGTGATAAGTTAAAAAGAGCTGAAAAAATTTATGAAATTGCATCTTTATTTCCCTTTATCTCCACTTTAAGAATTTTTGTTATTAAAAATGTTATATTTTGGTAACAGGGATATGCTTCAAATATTAACTTTAGAGTGTCATTCAATCCGTCTGTCTGTCTGTTCATAAAAACTTTTTCCTGTGATCACTTTTAAAGAACTTTTTCAACAAATTTACTTAAGATAGAGAAAAATTGAAACAGAAGTGAATGGCCAATGGCCTTTCAGAATGTTGATGAGGTTCTAACCGGTAGGGGAATAATGGATTGCTTGCAATACTATGATAATTGCTTGTTTACTTTTATATTTCTTAAGATTTCTTTTTTTATGATTTTTTTGACATATAAAATGCATTAAGCTAGAAGACTCGTCTGACATGAACTAACTTAAAATGGTGTTCTCTTTGTAGATTTTGACTACTCAGCCGAATTGTACATTTCTTTAAAAAACAAAGTCGTTAGTTCTTTTAATGGTTTTGGGAAAATGAAATGTATTTCCGATTTTCGCGCGGCTTATGTTTTAAAGTTGTATAGTTACTTAGATAGTAAAATAAGGTAGGGTCGAAATTCTACGTTTGTGTTTAGTTCTGGTTCATGTGAAATTTATATACCATACATTGTATCTGCACTTTAAATTAAAACTAGTTATTTTGTATCAGGAAATGGTGTAGATGCAGAACAGTTGAATATCAGATAAAAATATGTAACTAAGACTGAACAATACTCACTGATATAACTTAAAATTAGGTATTTTAAGTATCTAAACAGAGTATGCATATCTATACTTGTACATGTAAGTGCATTCTACATATTCATATTACCTTTTTATACCTTTCCCAAAATTATATTGTTTCTTTAAAAAAAAGAAAAGTTTGTAGTTTATGTATATGGCAAATAATTTCATCGCGGTCTATCAAATGTAAAAATGCACACACATAACATAACAAAAAACAAAGCTTAGGTTTTATAATTCCTGTGGTTATTGAACGTATGTAAGTACTTGCGTACATTTGCAGTGCACTTAATTGCTTTACTAGAGTTCATTTCGTGCATACTTATTGTTGTGTATTTTAACAACATAGCTTTATCATAAACTTTAAAAGTATTTTAAATTATTTTATCACTAAAAGTACACATGTTTGTTCAAAAAATATATTCAAAACAAAAAGAATGTTTTGCTGTACATGAAGATGTGATAACAAATTCGTTAGTTTCCATTTGTCTGCACTCACATTAAGATACTATGAATATATTATAAAGCGTAACCTTGTATGAAGTATCTATGGTGGCTGACTTGGAAGGCTTTTGTGCGCCGTGTTGTCGCTAGCGATATCACGACAAGGCGCCAAACGGCGCGTTGTCGAACTTTCGTCTTATCGTCCTGTCACTAATGATGCAAGCCAATGTGCGATGTGTTGTTGCGATGTCACCTTGTCGCTGGGCTCAAATCGAAGGTTCAGCGACATCGCAACAACGCGCCACACGACAACGTGAAATGATTCCTATGGAAGCAAATATGACGAAAAAGCGATATCGAAAAGGTTGTTACACGCAATGAGTACCAAATCAGCAACCATAAGTATGTGAAGTTTTCTGTCCCATTAAAGTGGTACTGGTAAACTTTACTTAATATGTGGTAGATAGCTGTTGATTAATGAACATTGAAAGCATCGACAAGGGGATAAGTGGTTCCATTCATGTATTTCAGTTGGTGGTAGAGTAAAAATTTAAAGTGAAATTATGGTCATTTTTTGACTGTCGAGATAAATAAAGCTTTATATTTCATCGTGATTGAACCATAGTTGTAACAAATGAAGATGATGAAATATAAAAATTGCCTATAATATAAAAAATCTGCCGCACTCCTTTTTATAAATCAAACATTGCCGATATTTTCCTAATGTATTTATGTTGGTAAAGGGGATGGGAGATTTTAAATAATCATTATTAAAATTTTGAAAAAATTAGATAAAATGTAACGTTATTTTAAATTTACCTGAACACTTACCATTTCTTATAGATGGTTTGGATGGGAATAATATCACTTTACATTTTACAATGAGGTTTTGGCCGTTTAACCGTTTGGTTTGTTTGAACTCATTAAGTTTAAATGATGTTATGTTGGATTCGGTAGAGACCGAGACAATTACTTAGGCGCTTTGCCGTATTTATAATTGTATAAAAGACTAAATAAAAGTGAAGTAAACTAATCCGATAGTGTAGCAGCTTCCTTGTGGTTGTTCATTTTATCGGATTTCTAATCTGTAACTAAAAGTCTCTGCTTTTAACAATACTGAAGGTCTTAGAATAATTTAATATATAATATCAACGATGTTAATAAATACAGCAGTGTTGTTTCTTGTGAATAAACAGACATTGCAATATCAAATGCCTTATTATATTGAAATTAAATTTTGTGTTTAGTGGAACCTTTTGGACATGTATTGTTTTTTGAAAAGGAAAACTGTAAATTAAAAGTAATGCCAATACTTCAATGGATGATTTCATTGGGAATTAATATATCAGCTGTGCGACTTCTCAGATAACCTATTTAAACTAGGTATTCAGGTGTGATTGGATACATTTCAATTACATTCTACAGATTCTTTCCTTATATCTGGAAATGGGGAGTGAGTTAGATGAAATCAAAGATAAATTATCAGGTTCATGGGTGTTAGACAGGTCTGAAAATTTTGAGGAGGCTCTTCAAGAAATGGGTGAGCTCAAATTCTGAATAAACGAATAAACAATCAAATAAGAAATCACTTTATTTTTAACAGTGTAAATTAATCGATTAGGAATCAACATATTAATATCATAAAATATAATTGTTTGTTTTTGAACCACATGTCATATGTAAAACAATAACGAATTTTTCAGTTTTTAACTTTCCAGTCAAATTTATATTATGAAAAGGAAGTAAAAAGAGATTTTATACTCATGTAAATGTTTTTTTTTAATTTGCATATTATTTATATTGGGGAAAAGAAGCTAGTTTTTTAAGTTATAGAAAAATGCATGGTCAAAAAATCAATATAATTAAAGAAAGCAAGGTTTTTATGGAAAATTACAATCACTTGAATTTTCTGTCAGAAAGAAAGTTTATTGTGATACGTTTTAAGCATAAAGTTTAAAGTATTAAAGAAGCATGAAGACATTTGACACGAATAGAAAAAAGGTTATATAAAACGAGAAAATTGTGTTCCTTATATGAGAAATAAACGTCACTGATGATACAATTATGTTGAGAAATATAATTTTATGATACCTTCGACAATGACAAATTAATATTGGTATAATTATAAAATTTACTTCAATGTCTACTTTCAGGACTAAATGTTGTGTTCCGGAAGTTAGCTAGCCATGCCAAGCCAAGTATGGAAATACAAGTGGAAGACGGGAAAGTTAAGATTATTGCCAAAGCTTCATTCTTCACACAAACTATGACTTTTCCTATAAATGAACCGTATGACCAAGAATTTGAAGGGATCAAAATGAAAGTAAGTAAGTCTTTACTTTCAAAAAGTTAAAAACATTATTTTTTATTTGTTATTTCTGGAAAAATGCCAAAATAAAATGTCGACTCTTATTGAAAAATCTTTTATTTAAAAGTTCATCAACAAACATCTGACAACGTGAATCTTTTAAATTCATATATTTTTTGCTAAAGGTTGTGGAATGCACGTCAAATATATAAATATATAAGATATAAGCAGTTAAAGATGGGCACTATATCAGACTGTATTTATATACTTAATTTTATATTAAGAGTGTGCTATGTTTAAAATGGTCTAAAAGTGTTACATCCAGAAATGCCCCAAAATGTTCTATTTAGAAATGCCTCGTAATATTATCAAAAGAAATGCCTATTAGTAAAATATATAGAGTTGATTGATTCACACTGTAGATTGAGGCTGTATTAAGATAAAAAGTAAAATAAATAAATAAAATGTCACCAATCATGGGACGCCGTCTTTCCTTGTTGATCATATTTTTGGACCTAGAGATAGTAGTTACATGTTATATATGATGTATATAGTTATATAGGCATACATATTTTTAGAATGATATGCCTTACAACAAGTATCTTGCGATATATTTGTGCTTAAGGTTGTGGAAATAATAATTGTTTTTGTTTTTTTTTTCTTTTGGGGATGTCAATGAATTTGTTACAAAAATAAGACCTTTCAATATATTTTTTTCAAATAAAAATAATATTCAATAAAATTATATTTAATAAAATTGAAATAATTTTCATGATGCGATAAGCTGCCCTATTATTCCAATTTTAACCCGATATTTACTATATTTCTTAGATGTATTTTTATTTCGTTAATTCATTCTTGCATTTGGGTCATTAAGGTATTGAGTAGTACCGTCGTTTAAAAACTTTGTACATTTATATTTTAGTGTTTAACAAAATGGGAAAATAACAAACTGATCACCGAAGCCAATCCTGTGGAACCAGAAAAAGACAAGCCTCAGAAATTTCATAGGGAACGAATAAATGACGAACTTGTTCAGGTATGAATGCTCTTGAAGCAGAAATGATTACCAATATTCAGTTATGTTTATAATTTGAAATTTATGTCAATTAAATTTTAAGCAATTACCATCAACGTCAAAAATATAACACTATTGACAGGAAAAACACGCTTAATCTTCTGTTCATTTTTATTATCAATGATAGAAAAATTAATACTTATATTGATTAATCATGGGGAAACTGACCCTAAACTTCAAACGTGTCGTTATTAGTTAGTACTCCTTCAAATCATACATTCGCTTTTTACTTCAACACCATAATTTATGAATTGATAAAGTTACATAAAACAGAAAAGTATAAATAAAATATTCTATGATTTTTATTTGTCGGGATTATCAAAGGATTTTAAAAAGCTATACCATAAAGGAACTCTTAAATGTTGATGGTCATTTTATTTTACAGACGATGTGGATAGGAGATGTTAAATGTACTAGATGGTTCAAACAACAGACGTGATGGAAGAAAAGGATAATTTAAAATAAATTGACTTTTATATCGTGTCTTTCAATTTGTATACGTTGTAATGCTTTTTGTCGCGAACGTCAGTTGGTCTTACCGCTTTTTGTATTATTATATTTTTCTTAAAATTACTATTATTATGGAGGGGAAAATATTTTTTCTAAGAGTTGAATTTTGTTGTCACTCATGAAAATTTTGATAAAAAGAAATTACTTACTTTTAAATTAAATAATTCGAATAAGTGACCAAATGAAATAAGTATTACACAGAATTTTGTATTCCAAAGACATAATGTCGGCAATTATTATTCCACCCCATAAGCATAAAGTACATATCTGTTCAAATTGTTTTTTTACAAATAAAATGCACATCAAAATTGCCATCAGTGCAATACAACTCTTTCTTACTCAAGAAGTAGCTATCATAGTAATGTTGTGACTTCAAGATTTTAAAAGCTTGCTTTAAATATATGTATTTTACACCGAAGAAATGATTTATCGTGTTTTCATTTTGTAAAGAAACAAATGGATCATATGACACTTAACGATGTTTGCATAATTTGTGGTTGTTTAAAGAAAATGAAAGTATGCATTTTTGTTTGTTTATTACAAGAAGAAACATATTTTAACAAATCACGTGAAAATACTTTGCAAGTGCGTGTCATAAAAGAAATCTCGTTTAACTGAATACCAACTTCAACAAGTATGGCACATTTAAAGCATTGTTTTTACTGCTACTGAGGATTTAAGTCATCTACACTGGGATAGTCATATTCTTGAAGTCAGGAATCCTTGGTTAGGAAAAGGCATCGACAGAGCTCACATGTTTTACATTTTGGACGAACGATTATGTTGGTAAAATCCCTGGAAGATAGCTTTGTAAAAACACTCATGAAAATAGCCGAATCCACGACCCTCTTGATATGTGGTTGATGCCACTACCGTTAAAAACTTAGCAACAGATAAACAATTTTCAACTATATGATACATTTTGAAATTTCAGTTCCATGATCAATACACCGAGGTATAACGGCTAATGTGTGACAGAAAAAATAATGTTTTTACTGAGCAAAGATTCATATGTATTTATGCAATATGTACATATTCTATTCGAATTATTATGTTTTTTTTTCACGTACTTAAAGATTTTCAAAATTTGTTTTTTATTGTTGGTATTTATAATTTGCAGAACTGTATGTTTAGTATATGGCAAATTCATAATGTTTAAATGTTTTCGCTTTTTGAAATATTGCTTTTGTCTTTCTTAATACATGTGCAATATGATTAATAAAATCTTGTATATTATATGATATATTCGTATTTTCTTTTTCTATTGTAATTTAACAAATTACGATTTACATTCTTACATGCTAGCAGCCTTTACACCAATAATGGTAAAGAATGTGAATAGCTCGACAGTAATAAAATTTCCTGTTATATATAACGCTATTGTATTTCATTTTGTTAATGTATTTTTTATCAAGTGTAGTTTGACATAATTGTACTTATGGAGTCTACTTATTCGTATTTAAATATAATGGAAATAGCTCTTACAGTTCAACTCGTGGGTGGAGAAAATATATAGTTGTTTCTGTTAGTGTTTGATTGAACCAGCTAATGGACACTTCTACGGTAGTAAAATTAATTTCAATATCCAGTAGTGTATCGGGGGAATATGTAGGCGTTAGTAAATGAAAGCTTGTACATAAAAGATCGGATTTTCCAATACCAAATTTCAATTGGATAATATTTGATAGATTTGAACAATTCTTCCTGCACATTTTCATGTATTTATAACTTTTAAATAGAAATAGATAATATTAATTGTAGTATAATAATATTGTCTCCAAATTCATCATACAAAGAGACACAGCAATGTGTTGATAAAGAAATTCTTATAAACACGTGATAACATTCTTACTTCAGGCGTACATGTTTTCAAAGTATATAAAACATATAATTTTTTTCTAACATACTTCACTCAATGATAATACACTACAACCAACTACGAAATCATTTGTCTCCCTATTATTGCATGCCATTTAGATTTAAATGCTTAAACTTTACTATATTTTAATCGTCTAACGATACACATCATGAACGTGAGCATCATAGACAGCACTGTTGTAATAAAGAATCTGCCAATAGGTTAAGTTATCTTTTTATTATTTATCTGTAATTATCTAAAATTTTTATATTATTTCATATGTCTAGTAATTAGAGCCTTTGTAAGCAGTGCTAAGCATGCTCTTTAGATTGACGACTAACGTGCATCTCAAAATAAGATTACCCCCCCCACCTCTTAAAAATAAAAAAATAAAATAAAAGCAAAATTCACTTTAGTCCTTATTCTCATTAAGAATAATTACATAACATAAAATGTAGATCTACGATTATTTATATATAGAGGATATCGAATGAGTTTAGTTCAATACTAAATTTATTGAACGAGTTCGAAATTGATCATATAATGCCATAATATTGTTTTATTCAACGAGCTATCTGCTGCAGTATGGTATACACTGACGATCTGAAAACCCTGAGTTTTCGCTTACATATGAAAAAGAATAATACCAATAGATCCGACTTTTATTTTATTTCGGAGAGAATGAACACATTGAAAATGATAAAATTATAACATTTTTATATTTAAATAATACTTTATCGGTATTAAAAAAATATTTTTATGAACAGCCACTCACCTGTCTGATAGATGCTCAAACATTGAACATTCCAACTGCTACGGCACGATCCTGCATCGACATCCGTGCCATGTTTTATGTTTTTCGCTTATAAAGTTAACAAGGATTTATGCAATGTAAAATTTAATACTTACCACGCTCTGCACGAATACTTCGTGCCAAAATGTGTAAACTGCTCCCTGTCTCCCGCATGAGTGCATGGAACCGTATCAAATTATTTTCCTTTCCACAAATCGGTAGAAAATGACATAAAAATCAACTCTGCAAAATTTTATAAAGATCTATTGTCTATTGACACGTTATAAAATAATCAATATTTAAAACAAAAAAGTGATCGGTTAGAACTTTTGTTAAGTGTATATCAACATTTAATTGGAATTGATTGATGAAAGCTTTAATGAGAAACGAAGTTAAGGTTTAACATTCATTTAAATAAATATCTGAGATTAAAAAAAAAGAGAAATGCAAGTGAAACTAAAGTTAGAAAGACCTTGCATCATGCGTTTCCACCATTTAACCATTTCATTTTTCTTAAATGTCAACACGCTAAACATTGATTATTCAAAAAGTTTCATCACGCTATATTTATCCTTTGATATGCAAAATATAATATTTACATGTGAATTACACGTTATATACACGACATCTCAATTAATTCTTTTTCTATTAATCCGGATCCTTTTTTATGTTATTGCAAACGTCTAACCTTTCCTAAATGTCACACAGTTCGGTAAGGTTGTAAGCAAACAATATCGTGTTTCATTACGTGTAAGAGAGGTGCTTCCAATAATCGTAAATATTTGATGTATTTATTATAATAACACCGAGTTTTCTTAGACAACTTTGCTTGACTTTTTAAATCTTTGAATGAAAATACAATGACACTGCGCACAGACACAGGCACAAACACACGCTAGAGTCTGATACGAATGCGTATTGTAAACTCCATAATAATACAATATCAAGAAGGTCACTGGATGAAAATATTATTAATAGTATTTCAATGTCTTTGAAAAACAGTTCTCTGTAAAGCTAAAAATACAATTGTATTTATGAAATATGACAATAGGCTATAAATATTGTTTGAATCTTCCCTTCCAATACTGGAAAACCACTTTCGAGGTAAAGTTTATATGTGAGAGACTAGATATAATAACAACAGAATATTGTGAAAATGTCATTTTATCTTAAGGTAAACTGGGATGTACTATAACGGGATATGTCACTCGCGCTTTCTTATCAGTGCCAATGTTGGTGTCCAATTGGAATCGATCGATCGATAAGCGCCGTGTTTAAACGCCGTTATCACGGTACATGCCGGGTTGATCGGATATATTCCGTGCATAAATTTTCCGGTGATTTTGGGAGGTGGGCAATCAAAATAGTAGGAAAAAAAGGTTGTTGGTTTCTTAAATACTTTTTTCATTGGATCAATTTTAATAATATTAATATTAATAAATATGAAACAGATACAGAAAAGTAATTTACCATATTTAATTATGATAGAAAATTTACGTTTTGTAATTAAAATACGTTCAGAAATAACTTAATCATTAAATTTCAATTATAGCTTTAATTACATGGTTTATATTAATTATAGAATATAATTATGTCAAATGTGTCAATAAACATAGAAATTATTTTGTATTGGGACTTATTATTTATGTAATTAAAGTGTACAGCTGCTATAAACATGTTTATAACATGTAATAATTTTTGGTTTAATAAAATGTCTGACCTTTGTTTTATTCATGTTTGTTTTCAACATGGCCTTTGATAATCTTTGATGTTTAAACATATTTTTCACATATATTTGTAATTATGTTCTTATTTAGCTTTAATCTTCATTTTTGAATAGATTGTTTTCTTACTTCACACAATAATGCCCTTTTAAAATATGCTATTGAATGACAGTTTTAATTATAAATTATAACTCAAATTTTTCATAAAAAGATAACATTTAAGATGCAATGTTCATATATGAAATTTATACATACTGATACACTGCAATATGGCATATGGAAAATCGGATTTTGTTCTCTTTGAGGATATTGATTTAGATTTTTTTCTTGGTGAATTTACAGCTAGTAAATATGAAAATTCTGATGATGAGGATAAGATAAGTGTAAAATCTAAAGATGATAGAAGAAAAACTTATGTATGTGATCAGTGTGATAAGTCATATAATTCTGTATTGGGTATTAGAGGACATTTAAGGAATAAACATGGAGTTAAGAATGTTAAAGGTTAGAAAAACTTTTTTACGCAATGTTTCTTACTGTGGTCTTTTTCAATTGTAAATAGTATAACAACTAAGATTCACATTTGCAATGGCCACGTCATACTGGTCATCAACCTGCATACCCATTGTTAAAGTTCCAGCTTCGACCCATTTGTCATGTGACATTTCTGTATGTATATATATGCATCAGACCAGTTGACAATATATCTGTGATTTTTTATACTGAACCACTGACTTATTAAAATTCTTTTACTCGTTTATTAAAAGGCTAGGCAGCATGAAGGACTACCCAGTTGATAAAAAAACACTTTATCAATATATTACACATTACAATTTTTTTTTAAATATTTATTTCATCTTATGAATATTAGCTGTACAAATGTAAACATAATTGGAATACAAATACAAAAAATATTGTGAAATGAACAAAGAAATACTTGACACATTGAAATCGGCACTTATAATCTACATAAATTACCAAAAAGAAGTCAAAATGTACATGAATGGCCCCTACTGCGTTAGTAACTCAGTATAAATATGGTGATAAATACTGCAATATACAGTCATTAATTGCACATAAGGTATAAATTATCACTTGAATCTTTGATCTGTTTACTTTTTCTTAAAGTTTTAGTATGTTTTTTTCCAAGTGTAATTTCTTTGAAATATTTTGGGTAATGTGGAGGCATGCAGCTTTGAAAAAATGTTTCATCAGTTATATGAATGCACAAGTAGGTCCAACTTCATTTTCTCTGTGACACGAATACATATTTTAATCCTTCAATCTGAATCGACAAATTCATGGTATCTTTTGTGACCTTACACTCAGTATCTTGTTCATCATTACTGGTATTCTCAAGCAAAAAGAAATTTGTGAAGAAAGCATCTGATGGAAAGTTTTCAATCTTCGATAAACCTGCAATTGAGATTGAAATAATATTATACAAAAAATAAGGAAATAAAAGACTTTAAAAGTGCAAATAGCAATTGACACCATGACAGGATATCATTCATGATATCCAATGACACAGCTAAGGAATCTATAATTTTTAATAAAGATGGTGTTGTTTTTTCATTCAGATAACAAATTATGGTTTTCAAAAATTAAAAGAAACCCTACCTATTTCTAAAACATTATTTTTTCTACTTTTTAAATATCAAACGACTTAACTGCAAATTCGTCAATTTATGGTTTGGTCTCAGATTTCACCAAAACATTGTTGAAATTTGACACAGCGTAATGAAAAATCCTACAAGATAATTGATCCAATTTTATTTTCTTGCTATAGATATGTTTATGTTTTACTAAAAAATACTAACATGGGACAAATTTAATAAACATATAACGTTC